TATGAAGCCCACTCATCTTAAAGTGTCCAAGTTTGGACAACACTGATATAGAGCCTTAGTTAATTTAACAAGATTTATTTATTTATAATTTATAATTATGGAGTCTTTAATAATAACCACCCCGGTGTTAAAGTTTGGCTTTTTCTTCCTTATTTCCCTCTTCCCTTCCCATCATCACTTCCAACCTTTCCCTTTGGGGGTTGTTGCTTTGAAAACAAGCCTGCAAGAAACTTATGAAGCCAAGAGGAACGAATTTCTGGGTGAGCTACAGAAGAAAGAGGAAGAAATGAGGCAGATGTTTGTCATGAGAGTGAAGGAGAAAGAAGCGGAGCTGAAGGAAGCAGAAAAAGATGTAAGTAGATCCCGGGGGAGAAAAAAAGGCTGTTGTTGAAAAGTTTGCTAAAATGGATAAAATAAATAGATCCAAAGAGAAGCACTTAAGTGATTTGAAAGCATAAACTGGGTTGTGAACTACATCCAGAACTGCATCTCTTATTGGCACTTAACCCAAAAGTGGAGAAAGGGCTGGCATGGTAGGAGTAAGCTGAAGATACTACTTCATTGATCAAGCAAAGCTGGACTAAGCCAATCCATAGTTCTTCAGGTCAAAAAGTTATATATTCTGCTGCCTCTGAGGCTGAAAAGGGTCCTGAAACCTTAGCATTGCTAGTTATGTTATTAACTAATTTCCCACCTTGGGTCCTGAAGTTCCTAGTTCAAGCTATTAGGGCCCTGTTTCCCCTACTCCAGTTTTCTGTTATTATTTCCTGTACCCAGTGATTGTCTATATTCTCTTCTTTGCCCTTCTATCTGAGCAGCTTCATGAGAAGTTTGACCATCTAAAGCGGACTCACCAAGAGGAGAAGAAGAAGGTAGAAGACAAGAAGAAGGAACTTGAGGAAGAGCTGAACAACTTCCAGAAGAAGAAGGCAGCAGCTCAACTATTACAATCACAGGGTCAACAGGCTGGCTCTCAACAAACCAAGAAGGACAAGGACAAGAAAAAGTAAGCCGTTGTCCAAGGTTGAGCTCTGTGGGCTTCTGTTCCAGTGTGCTGTCTTCTGTTGCATGTCTGTATTTGCTTCTTCCCATTATCAGACTGGAAACTGGGCTCCCCCACTTCTAAACCCAGACTGAATTTTTTGAAACTCTATTTTTCCAAGAGAAAAGAGGGACGGGGATGGGAGGGAATAGGACTTTGATTTTATTTTTTTATACCTAAAATATTTTTGACTAATTTTTTTCAATGAGGTGGGGAAGCAGAGACCAAAGGTTAAGCCATAAAATTGGCTTAATAGACTGCAGTTACAAATTTTTGATACTGATGCAAAACCCATAGCTGTTGAGTTCTCACTGTCTTCTCTAGTAATGCTCTTAAAATTGCTTGCTTATTGTGTAGAACCCAAAGCAGGAGAGGTTGGTGCAGGTTGATATTATACTGGAAGGTAACTATGGTGAAGGGTTTGGTTTTGGGCCTTGGGAAGATCTGCTAATGGATCTCCAAAGCCAAATTAGAACTACCCAGGTTTGTCTTACCAACAGTTGAAGCTAATATTGGAGAGGGAGGGAGGGAATGTGTGATCCTGTGATCCAGTCCCTTAACTATATCTAATTATGGATTGTCTTGTGCCAAAGATTTGAAAGGGAGAGCCAGTTTGGTCTAGCAGTTAGGGCACCAGGCTAGAAAGCAGTTAGGGTTAGGGTTAGGTGTGTTCTAGTCCCACCTTAGGCATGAGAACCGGCTGGGTGACTTTGGGCCAGTCACTCTCATCCCAATTCACCTCATAGGATTGTTGTTGTGGAGAAAATAGGAGAAAGAAGGAGTATTAGGTATGTTTGCCGCCTTGAGTTATTTATAAAAATAAGAAAGGGGGGATAAAAAAAATCTAAAAAAAAAAAAGCAGGTAACACCATTTGCAGTACCTCTAGCTCCACTGTGAACTATCTGTATGGTGTCAATTAAATATGAAGCCGGCGAAAGCAGCACAACATTAATTGTGTTAGATGGGCTCCCAATGCAAGTGACACCAATTTGGGAAAAAAGTAATTTTGGGGGGTTTGGTTCTGTGGGAGAGATCCACATATTTGCCACGAGACCTTTGGCTCACTCATTGGGGAAGCAGGGTCAAGTTTGGTAAGCAGAATCAGAGTGCCATACATAGAGCATGGGTGAGTCTCCAAGGCTGCAAAATTGAGTGTGCAAGGTTAATAATTCCTTTGTCTTGAATAGAAGCCTATTTGAAAGTGTTTGAAACCCTGATGTAATGTTGGTTTCAAAGAAAGATGGAGTAAAGCATAACTGACCTGGCTTTGTTCTCATGTTCCATGGGATAACTGAGCACTTCCTCTGCATTTTCAGTACTTTTTCTCATTCTGATGGCCACCAGGGCTTCCCTTAGGTTCTTAAGGTAGCCTTCTCTACTCTTTAGACCAGTGTTTATCAACCTTGGCAACTTTAAGATGGATGGACTTCAACTCCCCAGCCAGCATGCTGGGAGTTGAAGTCCACACATCTTAAAGTTGCCAAGGTTGAAAAAACACTGATCTAGCTGTATGAACCAACTCCCAGAATTCTTAGCAATGACCATGTTGGTAGGGAATTCTGAGAATTGATGTCCAGGCATAATATTCCAAGGAGGTGTAGCCCTGTTGCCTGCGGTTGAAGCATCCACTGGGCTCAGCAAGTACTGTATGTGTCGTTGGCATTGGCAACCTGACTTGTCCCAAACAATGTGTTTCTCAAGGCGCTTTCCTCTTTACATTTGTTGTCCCATTGGTGTGCTCCTGCAAGTCACTATCAGGGTCACAAAAGAACTGAAAAGAACGCCAAGCATAAATCAGTCAGCCTGCTTTTATCATCATTTTACATTTTAAACTCTTAATGGTTTTGAAGAGCTAGGAGCAGCAAGCGATGTATAAGTAGCACCAATAAATACGTATGTATGTATCTGTGGGTATCTGTACACATGACCTTTTTACAGTGTGACTATGAGTGTGACCTGCAGGAGCAATCTAGTGTTCTCGAGATGTTCTCTCAAAAAAGGTACTTCCTTTGCAGCAAGTGGCTTTTCTGTCTTGAGAAGCTGTGGGTAATAAACATCCCATAGCTGCATTTGCCAACTTGGGTTCAAATTCTGTACTGTCTGTGCCGATGTTGGGATCCATGGATGTCCACAGAGAGGTCAAAATGGCAGCAATAAACTTGCAATCAAAGCCCCATCTTTTTTTTACATCTGCACCTAAAAAGCAGACAGGGCATTGATCACATAGTTGTGGCTGTCATCTTGACTTTTTTTGCATCCTCCCTGTGGACGCCCCTGCTGGAAGCCATCTGGGAAGCAGCAGTGGGTGAGAAGGCCAAATACTTGGATAGGAAAATTGTTAGCTGCTCAGTTTCCAACAGATGTTGTGCAACCAAAAGGCATTTTCATATCCATTCCATCTTTCTCTCTTAAGAGTCCCAAATGTGGACTATGTTTTGTTCCTATGATAAATAGAATGTAATTAGGTGGTACCTTAAGGACCAGAACTTTTCCTAGGACAGGCACAAATGTTTGTGGCTAGATAACATTTTTTAAAATGTATAATAACTCTTTTTATGGATATATAAAGGGAGTCAGAACTGTTTTGCCAAATGCTATGAAGTACAAACAGTGCTAGTTAGTTTGTGACATTTCTATAAAATGTAAATACATTTCAAGGCAATATAATACTTCCTTCATCTGTTGATAAAGATTCCATGGAAGCTTATTCTGCTAAAAGTATATTGTATTTAACAAGACATGATGCTCTGTTTTTGCTATGGCAGACTAACATGGCTCCTCTCTCCTGTTAGGAGCCTTCAATATTGCAAACTCTGCAAGGAGCAAAATGAAATTTATATTGAGAGCTTCTGTGATCAGCTATGCTTTCCTCAGGAGCAGCAATGAATGTGTAGATTTGAACATTACAATTTTTAAATGAAGGATTCTTTTAAAAAGTATCTATTTTTGATAAAGCTACATGTCAATGGTTGTATGCAAACATACACTCATACACATTAGCAGTGTGCAAAATGTATTTAATTTCTACACTTGTAGATTATTATTATTTTTAAATGAAGGATTCTTTGATGGAACTGTTTCTCAAGGAAGAAACTGTGGGTGTGTATATGCACACATGCAGTAGTGTGCAAAACCTTTTGGACTTCCACACTGCGGGTATGGACAGAACAGTGTTGGAACACTTCCAGTAAGGTCAGAGTAATCAATATAAACATTATCTCTGATTAACATCCATTATGTAATTGGTTGATGTACTTAATGGGGAATCTTTTCCCAGGTTCAGTCCAATTTGCAAATAGAAAATTCAGTCCAGGAGGTTGTTTCAGTCTGAAAAACATTGCCCCAATATTGCATGATTCCAGCTTACACTCCAGATGTGTTAGAATTGCAGCTTCTAGAATTCCCACCCATCATGAGCAACACCTGTGGTGGTTGACAACTCTGGGAGTTTCTTTCATTTCCAGCACATCTGGAGAAAGCCAGGTGAGGAAGCAGCAGTAGCTCATTTCATCTTGGGTCCTTTTAGTCTTGTTTTCAATGCCACCCCTTTTTTTCTGTTGCTAAGAGTGTGCATACAATCCATCCAGAAACTGTTTGCAGAACCCACCAAAATGAATGGAAGGTATGTCAGGGCATAACAGAGCTCTAATATCACATCCATTCTGTTCACTGAGGCTTATGAAGGAGAATCGCCTGATAGATGAAAATCAAGGTCTTTAGCATTCCAGCAGTGCTCTGATTTTTTAAAGTAGACTTGCACCACCTGGATATTGTTTTCTGGGATTTTGATGCTTTTTCCTCCCAGCTCAAATTTGTGGGGTCATTGTGGTTCTTCACTAAGAGTCAAGCATGAAGTTTGGCTCCGTGTGACTTCATCCATGCATTCTTGGTAGCATTATGGAAGTGGTTTCCACTACCTTCTTGTGACATGGTATTTTGACTTCCCAGTCTGACCAGCATCCCTGAGATTCCATGGTGGTCTCCCATCTAAGGACAAACCAAGTTGAAGCTTATGAGGTCTTCACTAATGAGGGTCCAAATGTTCTGTATGCTCAGAGCCACCTCCCTACAATTACGCCACATCTTTCAGGGCTGAAACCAGCCAGTGAAATGTTTTTGTGGTAATGTTTCCAGCTTGAAACTAACTGAACATCTCTTAACTTTCATGCATCATGAAGAGGATTCTCTTTGGGGAGTGAAAATACTGTCTTAAAGTACCTCAAGAGAACATTTATATAAATCAGTTATGCTTTCATGCATGGCTCTCTTCCTGTAGGATCCAGCTTTTCAAACAATTTGGTTCTTTTATAGAGAAGTTTAGAGTATTGCTTTCTTCAGCGGTTTAATTTTTGAAATCTGTGTTGGGAAGGATAAGGAACTTTGAACATAATTTCTGGCCCTTCCACATGAGTTGCGTTTTTAGAAGCATCCCCAGTGCAATCCCAAATTTCATTCCCATGTGAAATTATGAAGAACCAGTCCCACCCAGGGACAGTACTATAACTAGGAAGTGAGGACCAGGGTGACCAAACGGGGGGTACAAGAGCAGATGATTTTATCTATTACCCCACTCTAAGATTTTTCCTGCATAAATAAGAGGTATGATTTTAAAAAACAAAATGGGAGTCTTTTAGAGTTCTTGCAAGTCCATAAAAACCTTACCACGGGTATTATTTCTTCTCTACTCATGGAGTTCCCCCATGTGGTTCTAATCTTGCACTGCAGTTTACAAACAGGAAGAGCGCTTCACATATACAACATGATTTGTGTTGGCTTGGAACCTGGCCATATTCGACATACTTAGATTTGTTTCTGTGATTATAAATGTCCTGCTAAGCTGCAATTAAACCAATCTTCCTTATGCACACAGTGCATAAGCACACAGCGGTGCCGTGCATCTAAATAGGCATCGTTGTTAAGACCGGGGCAGAATTGCAAATGGCTGTATCTAAACTCAGATTCC